GATAAGTCAACAATAGATAAGATGCAAAATTCTTTCAAGAATCTCCTATTTGAGATTATTTATTACTTGATATCTGGTGAGAACTTTCCATTATTTCTTTACATTTTCTTTGTGGTAATTGAAAGTTTCCAAGTTTTTTATTTTGCTTTTAGCGATGACGTAAATAAATTGTTAAAATTAGTTTCTTTCATTATGGAAGGTTAAATCATGGTCAGAATCATTTTAATCATTTTTTGGATACTTCATGATATCACCATATTTAAAAAATGTAGGATTTCAAAGTTTTATCCTAGTGCTTTATATTGTAATGGGGTTATTCTTTCTATTGATAGTGTTAATTATCTTTATAGCAATAAAAGCACAAACTACATCAGTTGGTAAATTAACTGGCCCTTTGGTTGTACTAAAAATATTTTTTGAAATTCTCAATTATATTTTCTTTATGCCAGCACTTCATTTATTTTTGACTGTGTTTTATTGTGATTCAGGAACAGGTTATCATAAATTTTATAGTGATTAATAATGTTATACTGGTAATTATTTATTACACGCATTTTTATCAGCAATTGCTGCTTCAATCCTAATATTTGTAAGTGGATTAGTTACAATGACATTTTATGAATCAAGATTTCAACCTAATAATCCTCTCTGCAAAACTTCTGGGAGAGATGACATGAAGTTCTTAACTTTTAAGATAATATTGGTATTGTGTTTTACTTTATTAAATGTAAGTGAGTTGAGAATTTTGGTTGTAATAATAATTACACTTTTTGCAGTAATTTAATTCTTTTCGTTCAATAAATCAAGTGTATATTTGAACTATTATTATTCGAAAGTATTAAACTCCTAACATGCCATAATAATGTGGACGATATGCATGATAATATTTGGTATAATTGTTGAAGATACTTATTATGAAGGTGCACCATATTTATGGGTTTTTGGTAGTCCATTATTATTATTAATTGTGATGCTTAGAAAAGAATATAGATATGATATAATGATGATAGATTCAAATAAATTTGATTCTTTAAATTAGGCTATATAATAATTATAATATTTAACTAAATTTTTAAACTATTATCATACAGATAGAAATATAGCAACTCTTTTAGATGGTTTTGTAGAATATCATAGAACTATTTGTAAAAGAGAAGATTGTCCTTGTTAGGCTAAGAATATGGGAAATAAAAAAATAGCTAAATTTTAGAAGAATTTCAAATTATAGAATCAAGATGAGGAAATCAAAGAATAATATGTAGTATTGGTGTACATAATGGAAAGAATATTTACTTTATCATTAACAAGGTTTCCGAATTGTACTGAATTGAGAATATCGCATTCGTTATTCTTAATGGAGAAAATGTAATCAAATTAATAAGCTTTATAAGAATTAGTAGCAGCAGAATAAGAGAAACCATATGTGGATGAATAATTTATTATATATAGATTAAAGAAATTAATAGAAGAATAAATGTTTGAGAATTCAAAATCCTCAAAAAATCCAGCAGCTGGAATTGATGCTGTTAATGAACTTACCACTGAGAATAACCTTAGAGAGATAAGAGCATAAATAGAAAAATCAGCATCTTAACATATAGAATTTTGGTCATAATTAAGTGAAGATACACCAGATTTAGGAAAATTATATGATGTTGGCACTAGAATGATGTATATAGATAAGATGTTAGAAGATTCATGGAAAAGAATTATTAAAATGAATTTAGATGTTCCACCTAATTTAATGATGATATATTCAAGATATTTAGTAGATATTTTGTATGATAAAGAATCTGCAGAAGAAGTTTTAGAAAGACTGAAAAATTTCTATTCTGTTAATATGGATAGAGGGAAAATTACAAATAATATTAATGATTTTCCAAATGAATCAACTGCATTAATTAGTATTTCTGCTGAAGATATTACTTTTGGCAGAATCATAGGATTAAATATGTCAGCATCTAAAATGTTTGGTTATTCTAAAAGTGAATTAATTAATAGAAAAGTTAATATTCTAATGCCTAATGTTTTTGCTTAATCACATGATTAATTTATGGAAGCTTATTTATAAACATATGAAAGTAGAATTATGAATAGAGAAAGAATGATTATTGGTAAATCCAAAAATGGATATATCTTTCCATTCTTTATTTATGTTAGATATGTTCCTTCATTTATTCATGGTGCATAATTTTTTGGAGCTATGAGATAAGAAAAAGTATTTAAAAATGTAGCTTTTATGATTGTTAATGGATCAACATAAGAAATTGAAAACATTTCAGCTACATTTATTACTATGTTTCATATTGATTTAAATTATATTACTAAAAAGAAAACTAAGGTTAGTGATCTTATTCCAAACTTTTAAGAAAATATTACTGAATATCTCAACAAAACAGGAGCTGAAGCTGAAATTAATTTTAAAAATAGGGATTAGTCAGTTTAAGGTAAATTTAATATTACTGCAGGGGAAATAATGTTCAAAGATTCTAAATTATAAGGTTATATTATAAAGATTGAAAATAATAGATAAGAAAAATCTTTTCTTAATCCTAATGAATAATCTTAAATAAAAAAATAATAGTAAGTCAAATTTTATTTTTAATTTGATTTAGCCTAACATATATTTGTTGGAGAGTATACTTAAGATTAAAACTTTTAGATGTCAGCTATTTCAAGTGTTAAATAAGATGAAACATTCGATTATTCATAAAGAGAACCTATGAAAGAAGATGAAAAAACACCATCATCAAATGTGGGGGAAAAAGAAGAAAAATTAGATTTGGCTTTAGGAATTAGGACAATGAAATATATTAATGGATAATTATTTGATATAGATGATTTTAAAAATTAGGACTCTGATGAAGATGCAGAAGAAAATGATTAAAAAAAGGGAGGAACTACTGGGATGTAATAAATTTAAAAAGAAGACGAGGAAGAAGAAGCTGAAGGAGGTCATGCTAATATATATAAATCTAGAAGAACTTTCGTTTAATTCTTATCAGAAAGTCGTAATGTAAATTAAAGTAGTATGATATGTTTTAAATGGAGTGCTGCTATATTGATTATTTGCTTAGGTATTTTAGGATTATTAGATTATGTTTTAACTTAATAGTTATTTTAAGACATTTAAGAAGGTTATATAATGATGTAGGATTCAAATATTAGAGTGGCTTTAGGTTAAAGAATATAATGGCAAATAATGGAATTATGTAGATTAAATAAAATAAATATTGTTGGTACTGATGAAAAGGTTACAACTTAGCTTACGAATATGAATAAAACAATAAGTGATTTGAAAGATATTCAATCAAAAATTTAATCATCTACAGATGTTAGTGGTAGATAAGATGAATTAATGACTACTAATTCTATAAAAATGATTAGTAGAGATAATAGTGGGAGTGAGAGCAATCAATTAGTTGATATAAATTAAGGAACATCTTAAATAATATCTAAGGCTTTTGAAATTATGAATTTTGACATAGCAAATTTTGATCCTGATTCTGATTCCATCTTTTTTATTAGATACAATTTATTGAATGATTATTATTAAGCTACTTTAGAGAGTGTAGATCTTTATACTAATAATTTAATCTACTTGGCATATGATTCAAATGTTTTGCTAGTTTTATTAATTGTTGCTTGTGTTTTCACTGTTTTTTCAATACCATGGATTGCTTGTGCATTTAGTTTGGTTTCATAAAATTAAGAGGAAGTTATAAAACTATTTTTAGAGATTCCTTTAGGCAAAGTTAAATAATTATTTGCAAAATGTGAAGCATTTTCAAATACTTTATAAATAGGAGAGGACGAAGATGCAAATTAAGAAAATGAGTTGTCATTTGACGAAAATGAAGAAGGAGAAGGAGTTGTCGAAGAATTTGGAAGGAGAAAGAAAAGAAAGAAGTATAAATATGATTCAAAAGATAAAAGAAATTTTTATATAAAGTTTATTATTTCTATAGGATTACTTATTGCTTACTTTATTGCTCATTATTTAATTGGAGCAAATTTATAAACTTCTATGTAATAATTAATATAAGAGATGAATGCTACTTCAATGGCTGTTCCATCAATAACATTTGCTAATAATGTGTTTCGATAGATGTTATTAGATCCTAAATTTTCTGTGAAAAACAACTCATCTAAAATTATATCAACAGATTTTGTTAAGGATCTATATAATTTGAATACAAATATGCAAAAAGATCATTCATTAAATTTAGGTTATCACAATGCTATTTATAATAATTATTTTGATACAATAATGAAAGCTGGAGCTTGTAATGAAGTCATCAAAGTAGCTGGAGTAGATTTAGCTACATGTTAGGCTTTCGTTAAAGGAATTGTAGATGAATCTCTAGCCTTAGCTCTCTCAAGACATTTTGAGAATCTAAGGTATTTGTTAACTGTTTATGATTCTCTTTTAAATGATTCTTCAGCTACAACTATAGCAGGTACTGTTTATAATTTTACAAGTAATAGTTAATAAAATAAGATACTCTCTCTTATGTATACAGACATTGCTGCAATCGAATTAAGTATTTATTCTAATATTCCATTTAGATTAAATGCAAGACATTTACATTAGATCAATATTTGACTAATTACTTGTAACATTTAATGAAAGCTTATAAAAAGATATAGATACAAACACTACAACAACTGTGACAATTTTTATTGTTTTTTTGGTTGTGCTTATATTAGTATATCTTTTGTTTTGGTGGCCCATAGCAAATAAGATTAATAATGAAGTAATTTTGTTTTCTATAAACATTTTAGATAAGACGAACTACACTCCTTCTATCAATGATACCTTTAAATTTAATTCAAAGAATCAAAGCCATCAGAGAATATTTAAATAGAATTCATAAAGTAGATTCTTGATTAAATATTACATAAATTAATTTTTTCATTCTTTTTTTATTTAGTAAGCTTTTATAAAACGCCCATTTGTTTCAAATATGTTAATTCACTTTTATAATAATTAAATTTCTATGGTTCGTTATTTAATTCTTCTTGCACTTTTAAATTTAGCTCATCTTAGTGAAATATGTAAAACATTGCAAGTTAGCACAAATCTCAAAAAATCACAAGATGATATCATATCTTAAGGTGTCACATCAAAACAATGGAGCAGAAAAGCAAGTATAATTTTAAGTTTATTTAAATAGAAAATCCAATCATAGTACCTGCTTAATAACATGTGGATTATATCTATATTACAAGTGAAAATCCCAGTTTAACTTTGGAGAACTTTTAATTAATTTTTGATGATCATTATTATGCAGATTCAACAATTAGATTAGACCATCGACCAAGTGGAAAACACACTGAATATGCAATAGAAATCAATTATAAATGTAAGGAATATGGAGGAACACTCATTAATTATGAAATGCAATTTTAAATACCTTAATGTGGTGATGCATAAATATTTTGGAAGAAATTTTGCGGAAATCCTCTTACTTTAAGAGAAGGTTTTAATGTGGATATGATCTATAAGAATTACAGATAAGAAATAATTAAAAACTCAGAAATCATTAATGCTTCATACTTTGACTCTGATTTAGACAATTACGTGTTCAATGTTTCGAGAGATGTTAATGTAATTAAATTTATCCTTTAAATGAAAACTGATTCATCATAAGATTAACAACCTGAAGGATTTCTTACAGATGCAGCATCTTTGAAGAAAATCCCAGAAGTTAATCTAACTCAACCTTATGTAGATGTTGAGATGGAAAATGTAACTAAATCATGGTTTGAAGGATAACTATCAAATGGAGGTCTAATAACCAATAAAGAAAGTGAACTTACATTGAATTTTAAATGTGTTGGTCTTGGAACATCTAAAATCGAGATAACTTTCCCGTTTTAATATTTTAAAGATATCACTTTAGTTATTGTTAAAGATTGTAATTATGCTTTTAAAGTATAAAATGTGATCAATGCCAAATATCAGGAAGGTGATAAAAAAAGTATTTTAAAACTAATAATATCATAGCATTTGCTATCTATTTTGTTATTTTCATTGTTGTTTTTGGTTTAATTCTTAATCTCTGTATGGGAAGAAAAAAGGGATTAGCAAATATACCATTTTTCACTACAATTGTTAGTTTCCTCCTTTGTATTACATGTTAATAAAGAACGTATTAAAATATTATATTTTAGATGTGTTGGTAAATGTTTAAGAAAATGTTTTGGTTTGACTGGAGAAACGTTCTTGCCCAATGATGAACCAGATGAAACTTTTTCTTCAGGTTAAAAATAGTTTTATGGTTCTATATGAAAATAATTATATTTGTTTGTTTCATTAATTTAATAATGAATAATTATATGTTTGTTCACAAATATAGATGTATATTAAAGACTATTGACAAATGGCTAATTAGAAAAATAGTTTTTTTTATCCAGTAACTTAATAAATTTTAAAAAATATTTAAAAAAGGATTTTCTTAATATACTTTCAAATAAAGGAACGGAGAGAATGTGCAAGAAAAATAATAAAACTAAACAAAGTAATAAAATAAATAAAAACAAAAGTCATTTCAATGACTTATATTAAAAGATAAAATAAAGTTGTAAATAAGTGTAAGAGGAAATCTGAGAGAAATCTTAAAATTCAAGCATATTACAATCATTATTTTAAACTTTGTGTTTACTTATACATTTAAAAAAAACTAAGTTTCTCAATACTTGATTAGTACCTAACTAATTGAGGATGAATTTATTTGAATTCTTTGATATCATCTAATCGATGTTAAATAATTAATACAAGCTTAAAATCAAACTAAGTTAGACATAGGGTTTTAAGAAAATTTAGAAATAAATATTATATTTAAATATAAAACGATTTTTATAATCAACATAGCATGATTTTGTTTAGAAGATTGAATGTTTAAATCAGATTTTACAATAATAGTCGACTTATCTATTGTTAGAAAAAGATCAATAACCTAAATCATATTAAAGATAGAATCATTACTTTAGCATCAAAGCATAAATTTTATTTATTTATTATTTTAAAGAGGACAACTGTCCAAGATATTTTGTTAATAGAGATTATGTTTTTTAATTATATGCAAGATGGATTTGATATCTTGATGAAAATTTGATATATCATCAAGAAAACAACACTTCTTTATGATAATAGAATTTAATAAATTTTTCGAGAAATGAGATATAAATCAATTGATTTTATTGGAATCTAAAAGTAGATTGGGGTAATTTAAATGTATATAAAGTAACAGAATATAATTGTGGTAATGTTCCTAACATGTTTGTTGGCGGTCTTTAATGATAATTGAAGTTTCCTAATTTTGGATTCTCATGAGACTCCTAATTGTACCATAAAATTAGATATTGAAAGCAGCAAGCAAAGAGTTGGAGAAAAGTTGATGTAATGAGGAAAATCATGTTAATAACTTTTGCATATCTCTAATATAATTAAAACAAAATAAATTTATCATTTTTTATTTAATTTTTGAATTTATTATTTAATAAGTCTGATTTATGCTAAAGCAAAATCAATATTTTTTATTAGATACACATTTTCAGCTTTAGGAGAAGATTATTTGGTAGGAGACCAAAAATTATTTTAGCATTTGTAAAATTGTTGAGCGGAATCTGCAAACCTATAAATATCATTCGATTTCATTTCGCTAAAAGAAGAATCCTTTACTGTGGATTCTTCAGTATTGCCTTGATTTTACTTATCTTTATTCCTATTTGAAGAACAAATTGACTAATTCGATTTTTAATGGCATTTTGATAATATAATATTTTTGCAGTCTTAAAAGTTCTGTAATTATTTTATCTTTTCAAAACTTTATACTTATTTTTAATAATTACTAATTAGATTAAGATTATACTTGTTTACTTCTTGTAATTCCTAATTTTTTTTCATTAGTTACTTGTTTAAAATTTTTTCTATTTCATAATTCCTAATCTATTTTTACAATTTCATGTTTGCTTCTTACAACATTTGCACATAATTCTCATTTTATTTTTAAAGAATTGCTGTATGCTCCATAGCTGCTTACAAATCCTTAGTAAGTTATGCTACTTTACTCTCTAACAACTAGCTAATTGTAGTCAATTATTTACTTGGTTTTTACAAATCTCATCCGTCAAACGTTCTTATATATGTAACAAACCTATGCAAGTATTATTATTATAATCTTCACTAGTCTTTTCTCCTAATGATAATCTCGATAAAGTAATTGATTATTCATAAAGGTTCTAACCAAGTTTGAATTTCTCATAATAATCACGTTACAAAAATTAAGAAATATTTTAAGATGCCTATTCTGAATTATGAGGTGAATTTTCTTCCTTAACTTCACTTTAATTCATTATAAATAAATAAAAATAAATTACAATTTATTATTTTAATTCAATATAAATGAAAAACTAAAACAATTAATTTAAAGAAGATTAAGAAACTTAATTCTTTTAAATTACCATAATAATTATATTCAATCTGAATCATCACCACCTATAGTTTTTTGTTTATGAATTGAAAACCAATTATCCTCTTTCTTTATTTTTCTAATTGTAATCAAAATCTTATCTCCTTTAAGTGTGAATTTACTATTTGCAGCATCTAATTTACATTATGTTCTAGCAACTCCAAATGTCCAATTCTTATTTTAATAATCATGAATCTTAATTTCAAATGATCTTTCAAAAAATCTAGCCTAGAATTTTTCTAAAGGATGTTTTGCTATATCTTTCAATTCAACTACAACTCTTGATTTAATTATTTAATATTACCTAACATTCATTTCATCTGCATCCCAAAATGCAAATTTTGTTATATTGTTATAATGAATTGGCTTTTGTGCAGTGACTTAAACAGGCTATTAAACTAGGATGGGTTTCACTTTTTAAACAATCACATCATCATTTTCATTAAAAAAACTATTGACCAACATTGAAGTATTTAAAATTGTTCTTTTATTTTATTTTAGATGTATTACCTATTGTGAAAAAGTACCTCACTTCCTAAAGCTTTTTATAATTGGTCGATGGTTTCTCCTTAGTTAGATTCATAAATTTCTACTGCATTTCCAGAATGTATAAATAATTTCATAATTAAATTTATGAAAGAATATTTAGAAAATGATATTTTTTATAGGTGTTGATGAAAGCATTGTCACTTCAAAAGTGAACGCACTTTATTTCAACCCCATTTTCTGAGCTTCTCAGAAACAAGGGGTCAACTCAAAGATTTGGCAAAATTATTGCATTAGCATTTGGTATCAAAAGTGCATTCATCAATAATTTATTCTTGTTGATTTCATTGTTATTTTAATTATTACAATTGTCATTAATATTGACAATATTTCTCACGTTTAGGAGCATTAAATCTAAAATTAAAGATATTCAAATAATTTACTTTAATCATCACAAGAATAGCCTAGGGGAATGGCAACTTGCTCCTAAACTTATTTTTATTGGTTTTCTTACCATTCCCCTTCTTATCCCTAAGATTCTAGTGTCATACACATAGCTTAAAATTCTGATTATTTAAAATCATTAAAGTCTCTTTATTCAACTGTTTACAAAAGAGACTTTTTTGAATATCTAATTCTTCTCTTTTCTTGTCTCTTTTTCATAATTTGGTTGGATCCTCTTCTGAAAAAGGATATTTTTATATTCTTTCTAAAACGTAAATTAGATTAGCTTTATTACTTCTTTTAAGTTTATGTTTCTTCCTATGGATTTATAGAATAAGCGAGCAACTCGTCAAAAAGCTTGGAAAAGTTCTACTATTCGGCTTGGATTTCCAAATTTTCCTATTCTAAATCATAATCATTTAAAAAGTCTTAAGAGTATCCAGTCTATGGTATTTAAGGTATTTAAGATTATGAGTCTTTATTTAAATTATCTTCTTATTATTAATCGATGAACATTATTGAAATTATTTTTGTTTTAATTAATAAATTACTCAAGAATTAATAAACTTAATATATTCATAATCGCATGCATAAGTTGTTAAGATTTTATCATCCATAAGAATTCTAGGTAATTAAAATGAAACTGTTGTTTTTTAATTTAGACATTAAATTGTTAATTACTTTTTTCCAGCTGTCAATTAATACAACAATCGTTATGCTGCCGCCAAACCTAACTTACATTCTGATAATCTTGATTGATTAAGCTATAATTAAGTAAGCCCACAACCATAATCTGTAATTGTGAAATGGATTTCTTCATAATAGTTCCACACAGTAATTTCCACTTCATTTGGTTATTGCATAAACGATTCGAATTAATAAGCCTGTATTGAATTGTTAATCAAATTAATTAATAATTATTTAAATCTTCTAAAAAAAATAATATTATATTAAACCTTGCATCTGTAATTATGTTTTTATCATGAAGATTAGTTTCAATTAGCATTAATTTCACTCCATATTTTATCACAGTTTAATTATGCTAAAATTGATCAAAGAGTAAATTTATTGTTTAAGAAATATCAATCTTTTTCCTATCAAACCAAATTTTTTCTTTTTAAGAAAATACTTCAAAAAAATTGAAATTATCTTATTCAACCTAAAGGAAATCAAATTATAATTTTGATAAGAACTATTATAATTGATTAATTTTGCGCAGTTGAACCTTTTCAGATATTTCAGATTATCCTAACTCAACACTATTTTTATTGGAGCTTAATGAGTAAGTTCTTTTCCGAGCTGATGTACCCATTCGACTAAAATAATCTGTTTCAATTAAACTAGAAGGATTCTTAATTTCACGAATCCATTTATGAATTTCAGTTGTTTTATAAGCTTAATTTTAAATAAATTTGGTAGCAATATCCAATAATTCAACATTTTTAATATTCTACTTTATTGATTAAACCAATTTATCTATATCTCTCATTAAAAATACAATAGCTAAACCATCAGATTCCTAATTACAAAATTTTCATACTTCTTCAAAAATGTAAAATTTAATTTACAAGTCATAAATAATTTTATGAGTTTTTATTCTTCCAAAGAGACTCATTTTACCATTCTTTAGATTTAATGCTTCTGATGAACTCTATTAATAAGGAATAGATGATAATCCCATAATGGATTTCTCCATAATAATATCCATTAACATAGATTTTTAATTGGAGAGATTACTTAGTTATAAGGGATCTGCTCCATCTAATTATTTTAAAGATTTTTTGGTTTGAAGTTATTCAATCATTTTGTACTATTCTAAATGATATTATAACCAATCATAAAGGCTTTATTATTTTTTGAATTCTTGACTTTGAATATCAAACTAAGTCAAATGAATGTCATTGAATACTTTCATTTCAGATAGAAAATCTACGAAAGTTATATTATGATCTTAAAGAAACTTACTAAATGAATAATTGCTAACAGAATTCTATATGAGTGAATTATTTTAATAAGCATTAAATGAAAATTTAATTATGTAATCATCGCATTAGAATACAAAATTACCCCAAAGAGATGATTTGGTAGAGTTTGAAGCATTCTATTATTTTTATTTACATTCAGGTATTTCTTCATCTTCAGCAATAGATTCAAGAGGACAACCTCTTGAATGTTTTATAAAGAGTTGTTCATCATTTGAAGGTTTAGTTTAAGATTTTAAAATTTATTGAAATGATAGTTCATTAAAGAGCTTGTTTTATTTATTTTCTTTGCCCTAAATCTCTGCTTCACTCAACATTTATCTATAAAATATTTCATTCAATCCAATCAAGATACATAAAATAATTAGTATAAACATGATCCCAAGCTAAATATCATTAGTAATTGATAAACAAGTAATAAAAATTAAAATTTGAACACAAATTTTACCTTTAAAAATTATTGGATTCTCATTCTAAATACTAAAAGTGTTATTATACTAACCATTCATAAAGCCAAGAGCATAAAAAAGAAAACTATGAGATTCTTATTTTAAATTATTTGCACTGTTGATTCTTGCAAGAGTCAATAACCAAAAGAATATAGGGGAGATATCTGAATATTAAGATTTGTATACCTATTTTCCAAGAGATTTTCTATAAGGAATAAAGGACTCTAAACGCAATTGAAATAACGATGATGATTATGGAAAGAATTTGGATTATATTTAGATTATTTTGAAGTCCAATTTCCAATCCAAGAAAAAAGAAAGAGATAAAATAGTTTAAGGAATATTTCATTTCTTTCTTCCATAAGTTGTTCCCACACATAAAATATTATAATTATGAATAAATCAAAAAAAAATTGATAATTATTTTACAATTACTAATTATTATGTTTATATATCAAGATTCGATAATCTTTGATAATTAAATAAGAACTGAAAAATAATGTATTTTATATTTTTTAATGATAATATCATTATCATTCTAGGATCATAGCCAAAAATATAAAGGCCATGCTTATTTTTTAAGCTGATTCATCAACTGGTGGATCTAATTCTTCGCCAGGATTCTAATTTGTAACATTAGTTTCAACGTATTAACAAGAAGTACAATTTCTAGTCTAATTATTCCAAGTATATGTATAGTTTGAATTGATCATACAATTATCTAGCTATAATTTTGATGGATCTGTTTTCTAACATTCATTATTTGATGATAATTCACAAGTTTAAAATTAATTTGTAAATGTTTAATAAAATTTGCAAGAGTTTGTCATTTCATAGACAATCTCACAATCTTAGGGAACACATGATGAAGTACTATTTTTGGTAATATAGCTGCATCCTTAAAGAGAGAGACATTTAGTCTCATCAGTAATGACTGAACATCCTGAAACATTAGAACATATATTATTAGCCCAATAACAAGTCTTAGAATCAGAAGTACCAAAATTACAGGCAGTTTAATCTGTATAAGAAGTGCATGAACTTTCTTTCTTAATGCATACTTATTTAGTGCCATCGTAAACACATTGAGTTATTGCCTAACATGTGAAAACAGTAGCTGGAAGGATATCTTTACAAACTTTAACTCTACAAAAAGTTCCTGTTTCTTTAGTTACATCTGTCCAATAGCATGGACCAGTTTAACCATAACCATTATTACAAAATGTCATTGTTGTATATGATTCACATGTTGATATTGTCATACACTTACTACCATTTGTAGTGCAAGTAGACATTTTGGAGTTACAATATTAATGAGTAGCCCCGCTAATATCTGAACAAGTTTCTGATCTGCATTTTACATCCCAAACACAATTGCCAGTATTAGTAGGGGATGGCTTATTTGATGTTATAAAGCAAGATGATCTATCAGTATAACTTGCACAATCTGTGCTTATTTCCATACATTATGATCCGTTTGTAGTGCAAATGTTACTAACTCCTTAACATTCTTGATGAGTTTTATAATAAGTATCCTTACATTACTTAAATACCATGCATATTTTGGTGGTAGCAGTTGGATCTTTAAGAGCTAACATACATTTTCCATCAGAACCGATGTTACAATTTGATGAAGAAAGGTCTTCACATTTTTTAATAGGGGTGCACTTAATTCCATCAGAACTGCAAGTTGGAAATACACTTTTACATTCTGCATCTGTGGTGAGAGGGATATCTTCACATCTCATATATTGAATGCATTATCCTAAAGGATTATTTATATTTCCTAAAGCTTTAACCCATAGACATGGTAATCCATCTGATGTTTCAACACATTATGCTTCAATCTAATATTCAGCACATGAAGCTGCCATATATACGCATTACTTATTGAGTGAGGTTGTACAACTTTCATTTAATTTCTTACACTTAAAATGATCTGTACCTTACAAATCAGTACAATCATTACTTCTGCAACCTTTATCATCTTCCCAAATGCACACTTTTCCTACTCTTTTAAGCATACAACTTTCTTTAGTTTCAAAATTCTTACAATCTTAAATCAATTTGCAACCACCATTTTTTTTTACAGTACATTTACTATTAAATGATTAACATTGTTTTTCACTAATATAATCAACTGAAGATGCTTTTTCACAACACTTATTTCACAATATCCATCACTTGTAGCAGTGGCTGGATTCCAAATGCATTGTTCATTTTTATCACTAACTCTACAGGCATCTTCAGTTCTTGCTTCTTCACAAGATCTTCTTAAAATACATCTAAATCCATCTGTTGTACATTTACCTCCTAATCCAGCAGCCTTACATGTAGCATCAGTTGCTAATAAATACTATTCACAATCAGCTGTAACACATCTTTAGTTTTCACTGCTTTCACAAGTATTTAGATAATTTGAGCATTCTCCATCAAAATCTTCTGGAATGTTGCTGCATAATCTTGTTACACATTACAATCCATTCCAATAACATAAAGTTCCATAAAAACTTTTAGTACATTATTCTTTTAATTGATAATCTTCACATTTTGGTGTTAAATCTATACATCCAGCAGAGCTTGAATTAATAGTACAATCACTTAAGAAATCGTTACAGCGTTTATGAGTTGTAAATGTAATGGGTGCTTTACTACATAATTTAGTGTAACATAATTAATCAATTTGATCCCATTTACAATCTAATCCAGTTGAACTATATCTACATTAATCTTCTATTTTATATTCTTCACAACTTGCTCTATATCTACATCCTTAAGCTTATAGAATACCTGATGATACTTCAACAACAGCTACTGTGCATTTATCTTAATATTTTGTATTAACATTCAATTGATATTCAGAACATGCTTCATGAGTTATTATAGAATTTGGAGCTGATAAACAAGTCCTCATCTCACAAAATTTATTCTCAGGATTGTCTGTGTTCCAATTACAATAAGAACCAGTTGAATCTTATACACACTGTTCTTCATATTTGTATTATGTACATTCCTTAAAGTTCATACATCCAGATTTGATTAATTTAGTTTTATCTATAGGATCAGGTGAAATACTAACTGTGCATCTTTAAAACTTATTTTATTTCTTGGGATCTTGAATGTTATTTAGATCATAACATTCTTAATGAGTATCATATTTTTCTGTTTTTTCAATCGAATCACAAGAGAACAAAACACATTTTTACTGTGATGGGTTCCAAAAACAAAGTCTACTTTAATTATCAACAACACATTATAATTCTGATGTGTAATTCTCACAAACAGTTCTTGGCGTGCAACCACCCTCATAAGCAATTGTACAAGTTGGCATATAACTTTCACATTGAGCATCATTGATTGAATCTTTGTCTGAGTAACACGTTTTCTTAACACAAAGATTGGTATTTGGATTAACTATACATTCTCCATCTATAGTAGTCCATAAACAAGAACTGACATCCTATTCAAGACATTTACTCTTCATTTCAACACATTAGGTTTTTGCTTTGTTTAGAGTGCAAGAACTCTTCCATTTTACACATTCTAAATGAGAACTATTATTTAATGCATTGTCACATGTTTTATCAGTGCATCCAGTAGTTCCTTAATTCGTACATGTTTACTTAACTTAACTACATAGTTCTGAAGTATATGTTGTTAATGATTGCCCCAAATAGATTTTATTGCATGCACTAACTTAAAGCGGTGATTAGCATAAAGCATCATTATCCTCAAATTTAGATTAGACACAATATTCACTAGCACTTCTATAACAGTTTTCAATTGTATAACCTCCACATTATTTTTAGGCAACACAATTAGTTTTAGCTCTATTTATGCTGCAATGCTTACTGAATTATTAACATTCTTCGTAAGATGTCCCTAATTTATATTGACAATTCTATTCAGCTTCTTAAGAGCTGTTGACACCAATACATTAGCTAGATCCATCTGTCTACCAAATACAATTGCTAAGTGCTGATTTAATACATAAATTTGATTCTTTATATGTACCACATGAGCTCTAAATTAAAATACACTTTGATTTATCTTTTGTTGCAATGCAGGTTTAATCAAAATCTTAACACATTTCATCTGTCAAATTAACGCCAATCTTTTCTTCACAAGTTCTATTAGTACATCCTTAACTACCAGTTTAACCATCGGGATATTTACAGAATGCTCTATACGATTTACAACCATCGTCATTTTCGCTTGACCAGGTATTACAAGGAGTATATTTACTATAACAAGATGTTCCATTATTAGCACATAGACCATCAAGTCTAGCATTATAGCATTCAACAATTGAATAAGAACTGCAACGGTCCTATTCTTTAACACATGCATTTAAAGCTTTATTAATTGAACATCTAACATTTTCTGATATAATATTTTAGCAATCAGATAATTTAGAAACTTAAGAACCTCCTGTTAATTTTGTTACTGTTGTATAATCAGAACATGTTTTCATAGCACATCCCGTATTATTTGAATTTGCTTTACAATAGGTAACTACATTTTCACAAGCTGAAGTTGAAGGGTTTTCTAATTTTAGATCGACACATGAAACTTTATCATAATCCCAACATCTATTATTGCTCCATACACAACTTTTGCCTAATAAATTCTTAAAACATTATTTAGAAGACTTGTAATTAAAGCAATATTATTGTTTATCTACACAACCTTTAGCATCAACTCTTGAAATAACTGTACAAGTTTCATTATAGCTTTAACAAGCAGCAAAAGAATTATATTTAGAACCATAAACATCATCACATTTTTCTTAATCACAAGTGTACAAACCTGATATATTATTAAGTCTAATTACACATTCATTGCCATAATTGTCTATTTTACAATGATCTAATGGCTTATATTTTGAACAACTAGTTTCTAGTTTAATGCATTTACTTTTTTCTGCATCCACAGTACACTTTTAAAATGATTTTAAATAACAGTTTGTGTGATTATATTCTAAGCTATAAATTTCTAATTTTAAATTTCCACAATCACTTGGTAAACATTTGTCTCCTTACCAAAAACAATCATTATTATTGTTATCATCTGTAAAGAGAGCATTTTCACCACAGTTAGCCTAGGTCTTGAGTTAAGAACAAGAATCAGGTTTTTTCATACATCCATTTCCTGTATCATTTAAAGTGCAACATCCTCTACCATCAGGCTTAGAACAGTTATTTGCATTTAGTTAATATTCTACACAACTTTGAACACTGTTATATTTCTAAGGTTCTAAAGTAGTTGAAAGACAAGTTCTTATTTAACACTTAGAATTGGCTTAATCCCATACACAATCAAAATTCTTGGTAGCATCATAATCACAAATTTCTTAAAGAGCTCTTTAACTACACTCTGGTAATTTCCAACATCCTTTTCTATAATTGTTTACAAAACATCCATCTTTATAAACTTAACATGCAATATTTGAGCCTGTAGTAACAGGTGCAGTTTCACAAGTTTTATCTTAACATATTCCATTCTTCCATGCACATTCTATCGTAGTTATTTATTTATTTAAACCAATTGAAGTTCTCAATCTACAACCTTCTTCTAATTTAATTATTTCACATTTTAATGGAAGACTCATACAACCTTTACCAGTTAATGATAAGGTGCAAGTATTTAAATATTTATTACAGTCATCATGTGTTAAAAATTCTTAAGATGCTATTTCGCATGTTCTTGAAACACATTTATTTCTCCAAGAACAAGATTAGCCATAAAAATCTTATTGCCCTTTACATTTACCTTCATCTTTAAAGTTTTCACAAATTTTATCTTCACATCCAGTTCCAGATGAATTAACTTAACATTTGTTCCAAAATTATTCACATAATGTTTAAGTATTAAATTTAGATGGTGCCTTATTACATTATTTTGTGATACATTCATCAGTTACATCATACCAATAACAATCAGCTCCATTAACATCTTTTACACAAGCTATGTCTATGCTTACTTTTGAACATGAATCATTCTTTATGCAACCTCCACCACTTCTAGTAATACATTTATTATTAGGTAGATATTTCTCACAATCTTCATTAGTTTTCATAGTGTCAGGAGCATTTTTACATGACTTTTCCTAACAACCTACTCCATTATCAGTAGTACAATGAAATAAGAATTTTTCACATTATTCATGAGTTGTTAATTATATTGATGCATTTTCACAAGTTTTTTCCATGCAAGTTTCATCCCATAAACATTCTTTACCTTCAGCACTCTTATTTGTTTGACAATCTAATTTTTTTTTAATGGCACTACAACCTTTATTTACTTAACATCCCATTCCATCTTTACTGATGCATTCATCTTTAAACGATTAGCATTATTTATCTGTTTGATAATCAAGAGGAGCAGATTCACATTCATGAATAACACATTGATTGTATTAACTTATCCAAAAACAGAATCTTCCTTAATAATCTTTGAGACTTGTACAATCATTACTATTGTTCAAATCTTTACATTCTACAATCTTTTAACATCCACCACCGTCTCTTATAGTACAATTAGGCATAAATGATTAGCATTTATCTTTTGAATCATAATTATAAGGAGCATCTTCACAGGATCTTTCATTACATTACCCATCTCTCCATTCACAATAACTATTATTTGATGTTATTACGCATTAACCTTCAAAAGAATAGGCACCACACTCTGCTTACAAATCAGTACATTCCCTATCATCATAATATGCCATATCATATTTTACTGTACAATTACTCAATTAACTGTTACATCCCTCATGAGAAGCAGCAGAATCTTTTGGAATCTCAGAGCAATTGTAAATGTCTTTACAATTATTTAATTATCCATCCCATGTGCATGACTATCCACGAATGTTCTTTTACTTACAAGCTTATTAGGTGTTGTACTCTGAACACTCTCCAATTTCCACACATTATTTTAAATCAGTTGTACATTATTTGGATATTTCATTACATTCTAAATGTGATTGTTTTACATATGCTGTACATCCAGTGAAGAATAAGCATTAACCATCCTCCCAAACACATGGATATTACTTTTAACAACCAGCACATTCAATTTACTTGTTTTAACAGTTATTGCAAATAAAGGCTTTCTAACAGTCTCCTTAGTATTTATATTAAGAACAGAATGGTTTGCTCTCTATAACTGGTTTAGTTTAGATTTCAATACTCACTTTACAATTATTATCTTTCCATTCGCAAGATTGCAGAGGAAATTTTAAACAATCACTCTCTGATTTTAGATTTTTACATTCACATTATAAATCAGCACCTTGAACAAAACATAATATTGTCAAGAATACAATGATTAGTTTGATTTTTATCATTAAATAATTATGCTTCATAAAGAAAAAGATTTTTTGCATTTATATTCTATTTTTAATCCAAAAGACGCATTAAGTTAACTGACGTATAAAACAATACTATTAAGTCTTTTGATACTAAAATTATTGAGAACGAGAATGAGGTTGTGCAAAAATAAATTTTAAACCTCTCATAATTTATAGTTACTGTAATTTAAAAAAAATTGTTTTTCTTTTATTTTTTTAATATCTTCTCCAATTAATTTCTCAAATCAAATACTTTCTTTAGTTTGTTTCAAATTAAAAAGTAATAGAAAAACAAAATTTTATTTATTGTTAAATTTTATTGATAATTAAATTAATTAGAAAACAAATCTGATAACTTAGAGCCTATAATTTAATAATTTGATTTAATTTGAACTGAAGAATTAGCAACATGAAGCATCATTTAATAAATTTTAGTAGAAACCGTAACAGCTAAATACTAAATATTATTATTAAGAAATATTTTTACTTATTAAGATTATTAATATATAAAATAATAGATACAATTTTAATTTTTATTATTTCAATAGACCTAAATTATATTAACGAATTCACATTCTTAATTTTAGAATTATTGTTATTCTGATTTAAACATCTATAAAAAATTTGATATATATCCATTAATTCCTAAAAATAACACAACAAAGGTAAAAACATGATAATTAATTTACTTTAAAAAGATAATAAAACATACCTTACTAATTTCTGAAGTTTTTCGTTAGAAATTTTTTTCTCATTAATATTAAATAAAATGTTCAAAAAAATTAATGAAAAAAAATATTAGTAGAGAGCCTACTAGAATGTCTAATGTAATTTATAGTTTCTTAGCTTAGAAAACTAGGTAGCCTGATATTTAAAAATAAACCTTTAGAAATTTTTAATATAATGTGTGATTGCTGTTTATAATAATTAAATAATTACCTTTTTAATTATATATTTATTATTATAATATATTATAAAGATTTTTAATTAACATGAGTGATTCAATAACTGAGTCAAATTCTTTTGAAAGAAATGCAAAAGCTGTAGTTTTAGGTGAATAATATTATCTTGTTCGTTTAATTTATAAAGGCAGAAGTCATAACCTTTATTTAGGTAATAAGATAAATGTAATAGTAAGTGTAGCTTTAGATAAGTTTGATCCGAATACTTACTATTTAGTAGAAATGAAAAGGTATAAAGAATCAATATTTTCTATAGTTAAGAATAACACAATTCCTTTGTTTGTGATGAAAGGATTGTAAAAAAATTACATGATTGTAAAATTCATATAAATAGTTTATTTTAGTATAATTCATTCCAAAGACAATAAAATCAGGGATATATATATATAAAAATATGGAATATCGTTATAATATTAAGGAAAGATGTGGACCTTCTCTTAAATTGTGTTTTTAACATTAAAATCGAAAGTTTTCTGATTAAGTATTTGCTACCCTAGCAATTGAAGCAGTAATAATGAGAGTTAATTTTTTAGATAAGTGCATTAGAGAAAATGCATTCAGCATCAATAGTTCATTGTTATTTAAAACCTAAGAAATTTGTCACACTTCATAGAGGAGTTCAATTACTTTTAACTGACCTAAAATTTGCATAAAAATACAAATTAAGGTAATTATTAAACTAAAACACTAAAAATAAATTTCAATATGCATTAGCATTAAACAAATATTCAAGTTTAAATTTGCATTTAGGAATAAGTATAGCAATAATTTAAATAAAGGACCTTGTCCTAGAGATGATTTAGAATCTTTAGCATATATACTGATAAATTTTTATATAGGAGGACGACTTTTTAAGACAAAGTAAAAGAAAACAAAAAGTGATAAAATAAAGGAAGTTGAATTATAAAAAATGAATCTGATAATAGAGAAAGCATTTCCATCTCTACCTAAAGAAATAATTTAATTTTATTATCATGTAAAATTATCAAACATTGATTAATACAAAGTAATCAATTATGATGAATTTAAAACATATTTTTATAAAATGATGTAGAAAAACAACAATACAATAAATTTAAAATAGTATCCTTGGGTAATTGTATTTCAATATCAATACTAAGAATCAAGAGCTAATAGATCCATATAAATAATAGAGTTCTGCTATTAGTTTATCTTCTGTAGTAGAGGATGACGAAAATGAATCTGATGATTCATTAATTGAAGAATAATCAATTTTGAGTGTAATTGAGTAGTTGAAGTAAAATTCAAAAACTAAAAAACTACTTTCTGAATTAGATAATTGATATATATTATAATTTATTTGTGTAATCATAACATTTGTATTTGTAAAAAAATAATTTTTAAATGAAATAAAGAAAAAAGGAACAGCAAAAAGATATCTTTATTACATTAGGCTACAAACTATGAAAAATGGAATGATAAATCTATTAAGTTTTACTTTAAATATTTTAATTAAAGAATAGATCACTATTTATGATGACTTTTTAAATTATAAATCAGGTTTTTCTTAACAATTCTAAGATAAGAGAAAGAGGTAAATATTCAAGTCAAAATTAAAAGATAGAAATTAAAAATAAAATATCTTATTGGGTTATAATGGTAAGTTTAAAATTTTAAGGAGATCTAATCATTTAGGTATAAAAGAATATAAAATTGAATCAATTATTTAATTGTATAAAAATTTAATTAAATTTATTTTATGTAAATCTTCTTTCATTTTTGAATTCACTTTGCTCTTCTTGTTTTATATAGTAGAACTATTATTCATACTAATATATAATAAATATTTATTGAGATTAATTATTTCTTAAGAATTCACTTTAATCTCAATTACAATGTTATTTTAAAAATATTACTATATATATTTGGTAAAATCTTTTCAATCAATTGCAACAACATATACAAACTATTTTAAAAGTGATTGTTGTAAACGTTATATAGTTTGTTTATTTCTAATGTATTAAATTTTGATTCAATATTTATATAAAATAAAATTTTTTGTTAAAACTGAAATGTCTTCTAACATCTATTTGACGACATCATAAATTCATGAATTGTTTTCTATTTGTGAACTAAAAACAACTGATGTTAAGAGGCTTGAAATCCCCTCATTTAACTAGGTATAGCAAAGTGCATATTTCCCTGAGTTCCCGGATGAAGTATAAATTTTTAGATTATATACTAGCCATGTCAATATTCTTCTGATTCAAAGAAAGAAGATTAGTACACGACCAATCATACAAATAATACTAATAGGCATCCTAGCTAAGATTCAATCTTTGAAATTAAAGATGACACAGTTAGAAGTATATCAAATTAATCATTTAGTTCAGTATCAAAGTTAGAATATGAGAATTTAAAAAGAGATGCTCTTTGTTATTAATCTCTGGTCAAATAAAATAAAGAATTGAAAACCTTAAAATCGTTCGTCATTCAACTAAATTAATAAAAATGTAATAAATAATTTCTAATATTAAGCTTAGATCACTCTTTTGTAAGAGAGTAATAAAAAAATGTAGGGACACATATAAGATCTTTTATAGAATTTAAAGTCTATTGAAAATGAAAATTAAAAATATTAAGATGATATATTATAACTAAGATTATAAATTTAAGATTAATTAAAGATCATATAATAAGGTAAGATAGATTATGAAAAATAAAAAATATCAATTATTCAAAAAGATGAAGCTTATTTCAAATTAAAGGAGAGTTTTGATAAATTTTAAAAAGATTCAGAAAAGACTAAGAATAGCAAAAGTGCTTAAAGAGGAACTTACTAACCAAATAATACTTCGATATCTTTAGTAAAAGGATTATCCAAGGTTAATCTTAAAAATTATTGTAATCAGAGTTTAATTATTGAAAAATAGAGTTGATAGTGATGATTTTCCTATCAATACATTATTTCACTATTTTTATATAAATAAATAAGATATATAATAATATTATGTATTCTTTTTAACTTTATAATTCTTTAAGATAGCTAGCTAATTTAATAGTTAATTTTTAATTTTAATATGTATTATTTTTAATGAAATAAATTATCATTTTAGCTTTACTCCTAATCTTGGTTCTTGGAGATTCACATTAATATAAGCAAAATCAACATAGGCACAAGAAAGTACATGGTAAATAATTGAATATATTCAAGTATTTAAATGGATTTTGATTTCTGTAGTAGCAGTTGTTGCATTTTTAGTAATTAGAAAAATAGTAAGAAAAAGAAGATAAATAAGAAGAATGAAAAAGTAGTAGAGATAGAATTAATTATCAGAAACTGTAGTTTTTGGAGAACCTATGAATGATAACATTCCTTAACCAAAATTCTATGCTGTTCCTATTGAATAATATCAACAATTTAAAAATTGGTTGAAACAATAAAAGTAACAATAAGAAGCTTTGTTATAATAATAATAATAGTTTTAATAATAATAATTGTAATAACAACAATAATAATCTGTTTAAAATAATCAGATTCCCTAACAACCTGTAGCCGGATATCCAATTTATTAATAATATCCTCAATAAATGCCTCAAGTTGTATATCCATAATTATTGAACAAGAGTCAGGTTGAGATCCAACTACCTGATGTCAGAGTTCCATAATGAACTATAAAATTAAAATATACATTACATCATATAGAAAATAATTATATAATATAAAAAAATAAATTTTCTTTTCTTAAAATCAAACATTAATCTAAGAGTAAGATACTTATTGATAAATATAATTAAAATAAATAATTGCTTAAATATAATAGTATTCATTTGAAAATAAATTAATTCACTAATTTAGATAAGATTGGTTGAGATTGATATATAAAGGGTAAAGAAGTTTGAAGATATAGAAGGGGTAAAGAATTCAATAAATTAAGTTTAAAATAAAACAATTAAAAATTAAAAGTAATACTGAAGTTTTGGTATTTATAGAAATAAGTGGATATAAATGATATTAAATAAAAATAAAATTAAATGGGGCCATATCTAAGTCAACCAAAGAAAGATAAAAAAACAACATCAGGATAAGGAAAATCGGTGATATTTGCTGCTTCTGAAATGCAAGGTATAAATAATATGATAATATATAGGGTGGAGAAACACAATGGAGGATGCTCATATCCATAAACCCGATATTGTATAAGATGTCTCTATTTTTGGTGTATTTGATGGACATGGAGGTAGAGAGGTTGCCTAATTTGTTGAAAAACACTTTATAGATGAAATCTTAAAAAATAAAAATTTTAAGGATCAAAAATTCGAAGATGCTCTTAAAGAAACATTTTTGAAGATGGATGAATTGTTGATGACAACAGATGGATAAAAAGAACTTAATTTATACAAAGCAAATGAAAGCGATGGTAAATGATTATAAGATTATAGAATCATATGCTGGATGTACTGCTAATGTAGCTTTAATTCATAAGAATACTTTGTATGTAGCTAATGCTGGTGATTCAAGATCAGTTTTATGTAGAAACAACACTAATTATGATATGAGTGTTGATCATAAACCAGATAATGTTGAGGAGAAATCAAGAATTGAAAGAGCAGGAGGATTTGTTAGTGATGGACGTGTTAATGGTATTTATTTATATAATTATAATAGGTAATTTGAATCTATCTAGAGCATTGGGAGATTTAGAATACAAACGTGATAACAAATTTAGACCTAATGAATAACTTATCATTGCTCTTCCAGATGTTAAGAAGGTAGAATTAGGACCATAAGACAAGTATTTATTATTAATAAATTAAGATTTATTTTAATGGGTTGTGATGGTGTATTTGAAACTTTGAATCATTAAGAATTATTAAAACATGTTAATTCCACTTTAGGATAATCATAAGTCACTGAAAGTTTATTAGAAAAGGCTGCTGAAGATTTATTAGATTAATTATTAGCTCCAGATACAAGTTAAGGAACAGGCTGTGACAATATGACAACCATCATTGTCTATTTGAAAAAATGAAAAAGAATATAAAAAAACAACATTTATGTAATATTATCAGGTATTATTAATTGCTGCATCAATAAAAGAATTCCATTCTATAGCATTGTATCTTTGTATTTCTATTGACAATAATTTAATCTTCTGCATTATTCTATCAATCTATTCAGTTTCCAATTCACATATATCATTCTAAGGAATCCCTAATAGTTTTCTCTCTAAAATGTTATAATATTCATATTATTTAGTATGCTAATTTCTAAAATTTAGAAAATTATCTTTCAATTATTAAAATTGCATATAAATTTTCGATGACTCATCATTTAACATTGGTAGAAAATATTTACAAATATTCTTATCTTCATTTTCTAAATGTTTTAATACTATCAAACATGGAATTGTAACAAAAATATCACTATCTCTACATTCTAATTATTCTGAAAATTAAATATATTTTTCAGCTGTTGTCTCTATAATATGAGAAAATAACATTAATTATGTATATTTTTTAGGCTCTAACAAATAATATAACCCTTTTTCCCACTATGTTTCATACTCAATTAATAAATCTACTAATTCTGTATTGTTTTTTAATTAAGGATCCACCATTTCAATATTACCCTCATATTTTCTCATCTACTCTCGAAATTTTTGAAAACTGATATTTTGTCATAACAATACTTTGTTTTTATACTATCAGCTAAAGTTCTAACAGCTTTAGATTATTCCTTTGTAACCCTTCTTGTTATTCCTTCAGCTTCTAATAATATATTAACTCCTAAATCGTCTCTGCCTTTTCCTTCAACATTTGCTACTGAATTTATTTTAGCTATAACTTTACAAAACTAAAATTAAATTATCAATTTATACTTATGTTTTTAATTAAATGTAATTATCACTTGTAACTAATATCTTTCCTCTCAACTTTTCACGAATCTCTATTGATTGCATATCTTTATCAATTGTAATAGCTTGAAAAATAAATCTCCTAGCTTTAGCTTCTATATCCATTAATTCTTTTACATACAACTAAATTAATTCACATAACTTGTTTACTTTTTCAAAATTAACCCAAGTTTCATCGAAATTTTCTAATAAAAACTTTATCTCTAATTTTATTTTAGAGATACTAAAATCTGGACTCTCTTATAAAGTGCTTGTATACATATGTCTTATGACATGTTGCACTTTATAAAATACTTCAACAAGTTTACTGCCAGCGTCTAACACTTCTGTTGTGAAAGAGTATTTCTCTGAATTCACCCATAAATAAGGAAAACCTTTTGAAAATAATCAAATAGATTAACCTTCTTAAGCACTATCGAGAATTTCTGTCAAATAACATAATTTGTCTTAAGTATAAAGTATTTTGTATGCTTTCGAAAATTGATTCCTGTATTCACGAGATTCAGCTTTAATATCATATGCCTATTTAATGAAACTGATCTATTTACATCACACATTTTTTCGAGATTTTATAAAAACTTTTTGCAGCCCTTCTATCCTTCAGGGTTGTCTAAATCGTATTTATGAAAATCTCTTTAAACAAGCTGACTTGATAATCTATGAGCCTTCTCTAATAAGTAATACTCTCTCAATCTAATAAAAGATAATTATTTAGAGAATTTACCTCTTAAATTCTTCTAATTCTGTTAATGGTCTTGGTGGAGCTGTCATACATCTTTTAAAAGGAAATTCATCATAAGAAGTATTATCAGAGACTATAAGTTATAATCAATTTTTATTACGATCATCCTCTATGTCTTATTCGTATTATTGCATTTAATAATTATTATTTAGATCATAAAACATGTAACAAAATTCAACCAATCAAGAAGATGGTTAGCCTAATAATCTTATAGATAATTTAGAATTCTAATCAGTTCTTGATAGTATTTGTTACTTCTAACTATTTTCAAGTTTTAAATTTAGAGGATGATTAATTTCAAGAGGAAATACCAAATTCAAAGGACTGCATCTAAGAAGGAAATAAATAATAATAAAAATAAATATACACAATCAATTAAGAAATATGTTAAAATGATGATTAAAGACCTTAATTAGATTTAGAAGGCGAATTTTAAAAAGTTAGTCCTCATTTTTTGGAAACAAATTCTGTAATTTTTAAATTACTATATATTTCCAGACATATTATTGCACTCTAAAGTCAAGACGATTTACATATTATAATATTAAAAATAAAGAAAAACCTTTAGGAATTCTCGACTTTGATTTTTAAAAATACATCTTTACTTATGTCAAATCTAAAGATGAAGCATATATTCAAAGTTTTATGTATAGATTTAAATATAAAAGATTATAGCCAGACGGCTGTGAGAAGAAATTTGAATTTGTTGTTCCAAGTAGAACGAGAGAATAATCTAAATAATGGGTCTCATTAATTTAACAGTATATCTAGTAATCAATTGGATGTTAAAATAATATAATGAGCATGTCAAAATATCATAGATTTTGGAGACATGAAAGAATTTTAGATCATCAAATTTTAGATTAAGCTTAAACAGGAGATTTACTTATATTTCGTACCAAAGGAACATTATAAAATTTATAAAGATCTATCACTAGAAGTGATTATGATCACATTGTAATGTTTCTAAAAAACCCTTGGGAAGATCTAATGCTTTTTGAATCTAGTAATCAGTATGGGGTTATCACCTTTAGTTTTAGTATTATTTTATAATTTTAGATAGAACGTTTTACTAGAGCTAAGTCATACAAAAATTATGAAAAGTAATATTTCTATTAAATTTAAGGATTTTATATAAACCCTTACTGAATGTATCTGAAAATGATCGTATTCTTATGCATGCTTACGCTGAAGCACAAATTGGTAAAGGCTACTCTTTGAGCATGATGAAATTCTTTAAGAAAAGTAAAAGATAAAACTTTTTTTGTTCTGAACTTATTGCTTATATATATCAACTTATGGGATTCATACCAGAAACAGAAAAATGTTGTTCATTTCTACCAGGTTTACAATTAAATCTTTTGTATCTTAGGCAATTTTACTGATGAAGATAAACGATTAGATTTACTCAGATCTGCTTAACTAGGACCTGACTATATTGTAGATTTTTATTATGTATGATGATTAAGTTAAATATGTTATATATGAATCAATTTATAGTTGAAAATATAAAATCTGCTAAAACCTTCTATATTTCGAATAGAAAAGCATCAAACTTTTTTTCTGCCTTCACAGCCTTTTGAATTTATCTCTCTAAATTCTAGAATCCTTTGAGATTCTGTAATTTTATTACCTATGTTCTTGAATTCATCTGAATTTCTCCTTCTTTAAATATTAAATCTATCATTTCAGAAAAAGCATCATAGATTTATGATTTATATCTATGTTGCATTCTAGCCTTGAGCCAATCAGTGTTACTTGTTTTTGTTTAATCAAGTTTATACTTTTAATTTGAATTTTAGAAGATCTATGAAAAGTATAGAGAAATTAAGTATTACCCAATATTTTTGATTAAAATATCTTTCCACCAACATACAATCAATCTCACACATTTTTTTACATCCATATGTAGTTTAATTTAACTTAAATTCATTCTAAACGATACTCTACTTTTATATCATGCTTGCTAAGCTATTTTATATTCCATGCTTTATAAATTGATTTGCTGTTTCAACAAATTCATTTTTAGGTTCACCTATTTAAATTCAATAATTTAAACCTAAAATTGGAAAAATTGGAGTTGATTAAAAGTATGTATATTGTTAAATTGGAAATTACATATCTCCTTATTTATGCTCAAAAGAATTAGATTCACTCTTATGATGACATTCATTTAAGGGATTTCTATATCTTTGAAAAGAGCTTTCAGCTTCTAATAAAAATAAAAACATCATATTTACATCTTAATGTAGGAATTTTTGCATTCAAACTAAAATCCATATTAATAATTATGTATTTCTTAATATAAATCAATTATAAATAAATATATTTCTATATTTCTAATTTACACATGTTAAAGAGGCAATTTAATATTTAATTAAATTTTTTTGTAAATCTAGGTTTAACTCAATTACTCTCTTTTTAATTTATTAGATATTCTGGATAATTAATAATAATTAATGATCATCAAATAAAATTTTTATATTACATTTTAATATAGAATTGACATATATATAGACCATTGAATTGCTCATTTTAATTTTAATTCTTCTAAATTCATTGTAGTTTGTCAGAGCTTTTTTTTAAAATGCTTCAATTATCCCAAAATTAATTAATATCACGGTTTTTGGCATTTAGTATGAAAAGCAAAAGTACCCAGTAACTTAAACAAATTTCGATATCAGGTTTTTAACTTAAGCCAGAAAATTGTACTTTAAGCTTTGAGTCCTTTCTTAAAAAGCAAGACTAAGTTACTTTTAGAATTTTTTGATCTTTTTAGGATATTGCTGAGACAATATTTCAAAAATATATAAACCCTATAACAAACTATCTTCAAGAAAGGAAGGAGAATTGTATTTATAAGTGCCATTTGATTTCTAATCGAATAAATGTTTCTTAAATGAAATTCTTTTCTTTCCCTACTACAAGACTCTTAATTTTCAATTTGGAAATTTAGAACTAAAAAGGCTTATTTAATATGTCATTTTAGAGTAATATGTATATAAGAATCAATAATTTTGATGCACTTCTCACTATCTTTTGTATTCTAATTAAGTGGATGGTCCCAAATTCTAGGCCAATGAATAAGGGGCCTACTATTTGTTTTCTTGAAGAAATATTTAACAAAATGATTGTTATTGCTGAAGATGTTCTTTTCCTTCCTTAGCTTCCTTTTCTTTGTTATATTTCAATAGCTTTTCGAAATCGATCTCTATATGTTTTTAGGCAACACTTCTTTAAAGCTTTCCTGAGCTTTTTCTACTAGCACAAGTTCCCATTATTAATTATTTTGGATTATTAGATTATTAATAAAAATTGGTTTAAAGTTGAGAAACCTATAAATACTAAAAATAAAATAAATCACAAAGATTAATTTATCTTTTTTATTGAATCTCTGATCTACTTTCTTTTTATATTTTGAGGAATAAGTTGTTTTTTCTGAAAATTAAAATTACAATAATTTAATTAATCATTTATCCTTTAATCAAAGCCAAGTATAATTAATATTTTAAAAATGATCTTATAACCATCTCAAATTAATTTTTTAATGAGTTTTCAATAATTAATTCATTGCTTTACTCCTTACTAAATTTAATTTGTTTAACTTAATAAAACAAAAAACTTTTTATAAAAACTTCGACCAAACATAAGATTTAACAATCTTGTGTGTTAGAGATTTTGTGATTAAAAGAGATTGGGATATTTTAAATAGTTATAGATATCCCAGCCAAAAATTTAAAAATCTGATGTTATCGTCAAAGTTTCAAAATGATCGATCCTCACTGTGAATTATAACTTTAAATTTAATATTTGATGAGTTTTTTATTACTTTAGTGATAATTTTTTTAAATAAATTAAAAGCCTACATATATCAGAGCCTAAAATACTTGAATTTAACAAAGTCTATTAACATAGTCTGAAACTTAAGCAACAAATTAAGAAAATTGTTGAGAAAGATTCCAAGTTAATTATACAATTTAATTATTAAAGGTTTTGGAGGTAATTCTTTAAAATTACAATTTATAAATCGAATCGTTGATATAAAAGGACTATTTTTTGTTTTTATAACAATTTATTTGGATAATTTATAAATTTAGTTTTTTTAATAACAAGCTAGAGAAATAATTATTTAATTATTATATTATCTAACTATATTCATGAAGTTTTTATTCTTAAAGAAATTAATAATTTTATTCATAAAAGATTAAGTTCAGTTTAAATAAATAAATTAATAGTAATATAAAATAAATACAAATTTTCTAAAAGAATGTTACTTTGATTGAACAAATAAATTTAGTAAAGAATTGGGTAATAAAATTAGTAAATTATGGAAGTAATTAAATTTAAAAGTATTTAAATAGAGAGAAGAGAGAATAAATGAGGAATAAAATAGAAATAAAAAGATTTTTAAGGAAATTCAATGAAAGAAAGAAAAAGAAAAGAAAAGTGAGTAAGAAAAGAAAATATTTTAATAATAAAATTTTTGACTAAATGTACATGCACTTAATAAATCATTTCTTCTTTAATTCCTTCTTTTCAACGACTTTGATGACACCGACGGCAACGGTTTATTTCATATCTCTGACGGCAAATCTACCGAGTGGTGGATATTCAGAGAAGATTTCAACGCACATTGGTTTAGTTGGGACTAATTTAACCATGGCAGCATCTCCAGATTTGACGAATTTTGGTTCTTCTTCAATGACTTTTCCTGTTCTTCTGTCATTCTTGGAAATAATTTCCTAGAATTTGCAAGCAATGTGAGCAGTGTGGCAATCCAATACTGGGCAATATCCATTTTGGATTTATCCTGGATGGTTGATAATGATGACTTAAGCATTGAATGAGTTGCATTCTCTTGCTGGGTCACTCTTTGAGTCTGAGCAAACAAATCCTCTCTTCAAATCTTTGACGGCAATGTTTTTAACGTTGAATCCGACATTATCTCCTGGGACAGCTTCAGGGAGAGCTTCATGATGCATTTCAACTGATTTAACTTCAGTTGTGATGGCTGATGGAGCAAATTAGACGACCATACCTGGTTTTAAGACACCAGTTTCAACTCTTCCGACTGGGACTGTACCAATACCTCCGATCTTGTAAACGTCTTATAATGGTAATCTGAGTGGTTTTTCAGTTGGTCTCTTTGGTGGTGTAACAGCATCCAAAGCTTCAAGGAGTGTTGGACCTTTGTACCATCCGAAGTTTGGTGATTTTTCCAACATGTTATCTCCGACCCATCCTGAGATTGGAACGAAGGGAACGTTGTCTGGGTTATATCCAACCTTCTTTAAATAATCTCTCATTTCCTTAACAATTTCATCATATCTGGCTTAAGCATAATTGACGGTCTTTTCGTCCATCTTGTTTGTAGCGCAGATCATTTATTTGACTCCCAATGTGTAAGCCAAAAGAACGTGTTCTCTTGTTTATCCTTCCTTTGAAATACCAGCTTCGAATTCTCCTGCAGGTGATGCAATCATCAACAAAGCAACATCAGCTTATGATGTTCCTGTAATCATATTCTTGATGAAATCTCTGTGTCCTGGGGCATCAATGACTGTGTAGTAATACTTATTGGTTTCAAATTTCCAGAGAGAAATATCAATTGTGATACCTCTTTCTCTTTCAGCCTTGAGGTTATCCAACACCCAAGCATATTTGAAGGATCCCTTACCTAATTTGTTGGCTTCATCTTCGAACTTCTTGATTGTTCTTTCATCGATACCTCCTAACTTGTAGATCAAGTGTCCAGTTGTGGTTGATTTTCCTGAATCGACGTGTCCAATAACGACGAGATTTACGTGAAGTTTATCCTTAGGCATTTATAAGAAATTATTCTTTACTTTTTATTTTGTGGCAAAATTTTCTTATAAAGTCGTATTCAAAATTTAATGACTATTCTTAAATTATGATGAATTAAATTTAAATATTATTAAATTTATTTTTTAAATTAATCATAAGATTTTATATCTTAATCATATATCCATCTTATACTATCATTCTTTCTCTACTCTCTTATATTGTATCTATATCCAAATCCTTTTGTTTCTTTTTTCTCTTTTCTTTTTAAAATCTTTAATTAAAAATATCATATTCTATCTAAATCAACTTACTTTATATCATTTTTAAAGAATCAGTTAATATTTATTACTTCCCTATAAATTTTATAAAATTTAGTTAAAACTATTTATAAATTTTAATTAAGTTTTTTTTAATTAAATAAGACTATTTAAGACTATTCATAACTTTATAAATAAAATAAAATTTTATTTAAGAAATTGATGAATTCTGACAATTATTTTAAAATAGTATTAACTATATCAATTTTAAAGAATACCCTAATTGTCTAATTATTTTGTTTAACAAATCATAATCTCAATAAAATCATTGAATGTAGGGATTAATTTTTATTAAGATTTGTATATTGATATTGGATTCAGTAAAATGATTATTTATCATAAACTTCTTATTAGAGAGATTTGATAATATTTAATAAAAAAATCCTCAGATAAATTAATTTGTTTGAATATAAATAAAAAAATAGAAGTTAAAAAACATATGATAATGAATATATATTTCTCTATTTAATCACCATTCTAAGAAGGGATCATCTGCTGGTTTAAGAGCTGGACTTTATGTATCGGATTCTGGATATGATGAAAAGTTAGAAGTGTCATTTGGTGCTCTAAGAATATTGTATTAAATGAATACTTGACTACTGGTTTATATGGAACAGGCAACTTCTTTTAAGTTAATAAATTCCAATCTAGGTTTCCAAACCATCTATGATTTTTTACATCAGCAGCGCCTATTATTGATATGATTATACAAATTACCATTTTTTAAATTTCCATATCTTTTCGAAAGATCAGCAACAAGCATGTGTTTTACCAAAGATTTAGCATTTCTTGGATAGTGTATGAAATTAGTACTTGTCAAAGCTTTTGGGGAATTTGACTTTGCCCTTTAATATTTTTTGATAAATGGCCATAGGATCTTCATCAGAGAAAGGGTCGATTCCTGCATTCATCTCATAAATTAAAATTCCCAAAGTCCACCAATCAACAGCTTTTCCATGTCCTTTATTCAATAAAATTTCTGGAGCCAAATATTCAGGAGTACCACACAATGTGTATGTTCTTCCTTCTACAACTTTGGCAAAACCGAAATCTGTTAACTTGAGATATCCATCATCTGCAATTAATAAGTTTTCAGGCTTAAGATCTCTATAAATAATATTCTTGGAATGCAAATATTCAAATATAGCAGCCACTTAAGCACCATAAAACCTAAAATAAACTCGAATAATAGGCTATACGCTGCATGTTGTGTATCGAGTCTTCCAATGCTTCTTAAGTAAGTAAACAATTCTCCACCAGAAACAAATTCTAAGACTAAATAGAGATATCTTGGATCCTAACAAAAACCTTCAAAGGTTACCTAATGTGATGATGATGATATTTATTACAATAAAAGGATGTTGCAAATTTCCCAATATTGTGTTTTCATTAATCACATGATCAACTTACTTAAGTCTTATGATCTCAGCTTTCTTTAAACTTTTCAAAGCAACATATTTATTTGTTTATTTATTCCTTGCCAGTTTCACTCTACCGAAAGAACCTATAGTTCAGCATTACACCAATACAATACCAGTACCCAAGGTCTAAAACACTTCATAATCTGTGAGTTTCAGCTTTTTTGGTTTCTAAAGTCCTGTACTCATCAATTTAAAGATTTAAAATAAATTATTTTTAAGCAAATTATCTAATTCTGAAATACTCAGCTTTCATAATTATAAAAACACTCTTCAAATTTTCATTGTTAATTTTATTTCAACGCACTAAATAACTTTTCTAAATTCAATCGAAATAACTAAATTAATTATCATTAATCAGAATTAAATTTCTTAAAACATGAATGAACAACCAAAAACATACTAAAATGCTTTCCAAGTTTTTAAGGAAAGATATACCAAAAAGTTAAAGAAGGATAAAACATTAACATAAAATGACATTGATGATTTAGTCTTACAAAAATGGAAATTCTTGCCTGATGATTAAAGAGAACCATATAAAAAACGATTTGAAAAAACTAAAGTCAAACTAACCCAATAGGATGAATAAGAATAAGCAAATGATTCTGAATAAGAAAAGCAACCTTCCAAAAAAGTAAAGCAATGAATTTCCCATTTATATATATATTTATATATATTTAAATTGTTATTTAATTTATATTTGTTACATACTGAAATTTCATAACTTAGCTAATCCATATCCTTGAGCATTATTCAGATCATTGAATAGGTGATTACCATATGCAAATCTGGCAATTTATCTTAGATGAAGTTCACAAGGTCCATCCATTAATCTAATTGCTCTTGCTATTCGGAAAGAAATAGCCAAAGGTTAATCTTCAGTAACTCCCTCAGCACCAAATGCTTAGATGCATGAATCAATCATCTTTTAACATGCTTTTGGGACGTAAGCTTTACATTAACTGACTGCCATAAATGTATGCAAGTGTTTGGATCCTGCTGAATCCAATAACAAACCAGCATTAAGACATAATAATCTACAGTTTGAGAGAGTAATTTCTAACTCTCCTAATCTCTCTTAAAATGCTGCATTATCTTTCAGTTTCTACTTGAACATAACTCTTTATTCTGCTCTACTCATCATCAAATCTAAACCTCTTCTTGACAATCCTACCTATCTAACACAATGATGTAATCTTCCCCCTAATAATCTACCCTGAGCCATTTTAAATGCTCCACCAAATTATCCTAACAAGTTCTCTTTTGGTATAAAAACATTATTAAATTCTACTTCAGCATAACTGTGTGGAAGATCATAATAACTGAAAACTGCAAGTTATCTTAATATCTTAATATTTGGGTTAGGCATATCCACTATAATCATTGATTATGATTCCATTGGATTAGACATATCCTAAGAAGATTTTCCCATCACTATTCCAAACTTTGCCCTTTCATCTGGAGCACTTGAAACAAACCATTTACCACCATTAATTATATAGCCACCTTCTGTTGGAGTTATGGTAAATTAGAAATTATTTGGATCTGATGAAGATACATTCTTTTCTGACATTGCAAAAAATGACTTACATTCTCCTTCAATTAATGGTTTTAAATATTTCTCTTTTTGATATGGTGTTCCATAACCAATTAAAAGTTTTATATTGCCTGTGTCTGGAGCAAAACAATTAAATATTTCGTGTGCCAAATAACTTAAACCCATTACTTCTGATATAAAAACATATTCTAAGTTTGTTAAACCTTTCCCATACATTGGATCAGAAATAAATAAATTCCATAACCCTAAAGATTTAGCTTTCCTTTATAAAGCTTCAACTTCTGGAACACCTTTATTTAAATCTGAAGTTGGTACTTATCTTGATTTATCTAAGATCAACTTTTCAACTGGAAACAGTTCATCCTTCAAGAAATCCTTTATTCTATAATAATAACTTTTGCATCTTTCACTTACTGGCCAATTTGACCATAATGAACTATCACTAGTTGCCCTCATTTTAATACCAAATGGATCTCCTTCTGTTAAATTTAACACTATTTGATATCCAGCTTTCGATAAAAATTCAGAATTTTCTAAATATTTAGTTTCCTTTGTTTATTTAAATAATATTTATTGATCAATAGACTTTTTAAGTATTGCCATTGTTATTTGATATCTAATATCTGGGATTGTTTAAGTTGATCTAGCACTAAAATATGAAGTAATAACTTCTTCTAATTTTGGAGCACCAACCAACATTTCTACTCCTTACCATCCATCGATTATATGTCTTCCATTTGAATATGGTATATAAAATGGAGCAACTAAATTAGCTAAATCAGTAAATGCATTTCCTAATTAGGCTGTCTGCCAATCTAATATTGCTAATATTCTTGGTTCTGTTGGATGAAATAAAACTTTAGATAATGAAAAATCTCCATGAATTAAACATAGATTATCTAAATCACATTTCTCTGGTTAATTTAATGGTAACCAATACAATAAATCTTCGATGTTAGTAGAAATTTTTGTTTCATTTAATTTATAGGTATTGTACAATTTCTTATTTACAATTTAATAATGACTTGTTTGTGATTCCAACTTTCCAAGTCCTAAATAGTTCAAACTTATAGAATGTAAATGAGCTAATGTTTTAGCCACTTCCTAATAAATCATGCTTTTTTCCTCTTTTGACATTCCAATTAATTTTGGATCTAAAAAGAGTCTTCCCTCTAGATACTCAGTGGCATAAAAGGGAACTCCAAGTATAGAGAGATCAGCACAGTAAAATAAAGTTTTTGTGACTGGAAAATTTATAGCTGACAACTTTTAGGCTATCATATAATCCTTTTCTAGTTGATGTCCCTAAATTATATTAACTTATTATTTACTGTTGCTGTTTAGATGGTTGATTTAGCATACAGAACGATTTTTTTATTCGTGTCCCTAAAATATTTATATGACGAATATACTTGAATGAAAGTTTATATATAAAACCAACTAGTTCTTATACTTCTTCTATTTAGGCATGGTTTACGCCGAGGAAAACTAGTACAGAGGACTAAGAGTTTAAATAGTTTCCCAATAAATGGGATTGTTACACTTCCTACATTGACATTGCTAAAAATAAATGATATATTTTTTTTAAATCTCAGATGTAAAAATTATGACGACTTTGATACTCTCTAAAATCCATATTTAATAATATGTAATTATTCAATTATGATGTCATTTAATATATTCTGCTTTGAAGAATTTTATTGTTTTTATTAGATATTATTCATTTTATTAAGATATTACTTTATCACTTAAAAAATAATCCTACACATAATAATCAATTAATCCACTAAGTTTAATAAATCTTAAAGAATAGCGATAATTTATAAGTATATAATCATAGGGATTATCTTTTTATATAATAATAAAATATTTATAATATTATTATATAAATATAATTATTTTTTATCAGAATTGACTTCTTATATTGTTAAACACAACAAAATGAATATTATATACAATTCCATACTCTACATTTTACAAAATTATATATTTAATTTGCCTTTTATGAAAGAATTAATTATTGTATTTATAAGAAAATAAATAATTATAAAAATTAGAATGAATAAAACCTAAACATCTAATGAATAAATAAATTAAGTTTTTAATTTAATTAGTTTATGGATTAAATTGGTGTAAATACATTACGAAGTGTACAAAAGCTGATTAAATCAGCAATGAAAACCAGAGTTTTAACAGCGTTTCCAAATCTTCCATAAAATAGTTTTGAAATATAATTGGAAACAATTTCAAACAATCTGAATTTTGAGTACAAAACACCTACTGTGATAAGAATCTATAATCAGTTTAAGAAATAAAATCTATTTGGAGGTAAAGAGATAATATGTTATATAATAGATTTAAAATCAGAAGTTGAAGTGGCATAAAAAATAGCATCTATAGAATGTTAAGATAATGTAATATAAAAAGTTGAAGCGATTGATAAAGGATTTTTAACAATTCAATTAAATGATAAATTTATTGAGGATGAAATAAATGCACTTTTAAGAAATGGATTGAAATTCCCCTTAGAGAAGAAACAAGTATAAACAATATATAAATTAATTTAGAAAGTAGTTGTAGATTTTTCAAGTCCAAATATCGCAAAGGAAATGCATGTTGGTCATTTAAGATCAACAATATTAGGAGAATCATTATGCCGAATATTAGAATTTTAAGGATAAGAAGTAGTAAGAGTAAATCATATTGGTGATTGGGGAACTTAATTTGGAATGTTAATTAATCATTTATTAGAAGAATATCCAGATTATTAAACTAACAGACCTGCTTTAAAAGAATTAGAAGATTTATATAAAGCAGCAAAAAAGAAATTCGATTCTAATGAGGAATTTAAAGTTAAATCATAATAATATGTTGTAAAACTACAAGCTTTGGATCCAGTTTGTATAGATGCTTGGAAAATGATTTGTGAATTGAGTCGATAAGAATATAATAAAATTTATTAGAGATTGAATGTTAAAATAACAGAATTTGGAGAAAGTTATTATAATCCAATTCTTTCAGAAATAGTGAAGGAATGTGAAGCTAAAGGGATTGTTGAATTAGATTAAGGAGCAAAAATTATAAGAGTGAAAGGAGAAAAAGTTCCTTTAATGATTGTAAAAAAAGATGGTGGTTATAATTATGATACAACAGATATGGCAGCAGCCAAAACTCGTATTTTAGATTGGAAATGTGATAGATTACTTTATTTAACAGATGTAGGATAATGGAATCACTTTAAATTAATTTTTGAAGGTGCAAAATTAATGGGATGGCATCACCCACCAGCAACATCAATGGAACATATGGGATTTGGTTTAGTATTAGGTCCTGATGGTAAAAAGTTTAAGACAAGATCAGGAGATACAGTTAAACTGATTGAATTATTGGATGAAGCTAAAGAGAGAGCTTTGAAATAAATTCAATAAAGAGTTTAAGAAAGTTAATAAGGAAAAGAGTTTTCAACTGGAACTGCTCTATCTCCAGAAGAATTTGATTTAGCTGCAGAAAGAATGGGAATAGCAGCTATTAAATACTATGACTTGAAATAGAATCGTATTTCAGATTATAATTTCGATTATGATAAGATGCTGGATCCTAAAGGTAATACTGCTGTATATTTGATGTATTCTTATGTTCGAATTGTATCTATTTTAAGGAAAAGTGGCATTCAAGATTTTGAATTGTTTAAAACAGATAAATAATTTAAAATCTCACATTAACATGAACGTCATTTAGCTGCATAATTATTACGATTTGTTGATGTTTTATAATCAGTAACTGATTAATTAGCTATTAATTGGTTATGTGATTATATTTATGACATTTGTGTAAAAATAGCAGAGGCATATAATCAAGTAATTAATAAATATAAAATATAGTATCGTATATTGAATGATGAACACACTTAAACAAGACTGTTATTATGTGAAGCTATCAGAATGGTATTGTTGCAATCCTTTTATTTGGTTGGAATAGAACCTATTGAAAAAATCTGAGGAAACATATATTACATTAAAATAAAAATTCATTTATTAATGTTCCCAAATATTTCTGTCTTAAATGAAGAATATGATATAGATCAACCTCGTTTGGTTGCTTCATCTTATTCAGATATTAAAAAATTACTTTCACCTCCTACAACTAAGATTAAATCTGAGATTAATGTTGAAAGAAATAAGACTAAATCACATACTCATGGATTAATAGAATCCAAAGGAGCAGAATAATACCTCATAAAAGTAATATAGAACAATGATTTATAAGAAATTTAAAATTTATTAGATGAAGCTGAAAATATCAATATTTACACAATTATTGATCATAAAAAATATACTCTGTTACATTTAGCAGCATATAATAATAATTTAGATACTGTTAAGTATATATAAATATTATATACTTAAAAGATTGTTAATTAATCACGTTAAAAAACAACATAAACATAAATGTACAACAATTCTGACAGAATGGGTTAATTTATAAACAGAAGATGGATTTGTAGCCTTTCATTTTGCAGCTTATAGAGGAAATATAGAAATGATTTAAGAATTTGAAAAATGTGGAGCTAATCTATATATTAGAAATGCATAAGGAATGAATGGATTACATTTAGCAGCTTAAGGTGATCAACCAAAATCAATTGTTTATTTTAAGAAAATTGGGTTTGATTTTGTATAAAAAGATTCTAAAGGAGGAACGGCTTTACATTGGGCATCTTATTATGGATGTGAATTAGCAGTTAGTTATCTACTATCATTTACTGATTAATTATTAGACATTAAAGATTTAGAAGGTTTAACTGCACTTCATTTAGCAACTATGAGTGGAAATAGTAGAATTGTTAAAAAACTTTTACTTTAGGGAGCTGATAGAAATATTAAAAATAATGAAGGATAAACTGCAGCTGATATTGCTTAATCTAATTAATTTAAAGCTCTATATAAAATGCTTACGGAATCATAAAACTTTTTAATTACATATTTTAGTATCAGCTAAGGATTCTAAAAAGTAAATAGAAGTAAAGATAAAATGTTTAAATTTATTGCTATGTTAATATATTGTCAAGGAATTACTATTTATTACAATTTTTATGCAGATCAATCAAATTAATATCTTATTTATTATGGAGTATTTCAACTATTAATCTGGTTTTTATTTATCGTTTTATGGCTTAGTGATCCTGGTAAGTAAGTAAAAAAATAAGAAAAAAATGAATAAGAGCTACTGACAAATTTATATGATATATTACAAAAAGAAGATGCAAAAGATATATGTCCTGAATGTATTTGTGTTAAAGCTACTAGATCTAAACATTGTGATGTTTGTTAATCTTGTATATTAGTTTATGATCATCATTGCCCTTGGGTTGATAATTGTGTAATTTATTATCCTATTATAAGATAGGTTCAAACAATCATTTATAATTTTACATATTTATATTCCTCCTTTCTTTAGATATCACCTTTACTTTAGCATACTAACTTTATTTTATCATTCAATAAATTTAAAATGACGGAGGGGTAAGCGAATAATTTATTATCCTTTTCATTCTCTCCATATTTTCCATCATTATTATGCTATTATTTCTCTTTCCTTTATGGCTTTTATTGTATATTTAATCAGTCAATTTATTAACAGGATAAACAACTTATGAAAAGTAATCTTGTTATTTATTATTCCTAGATATTCTTAATCTAGAAAGAAAGCTAATGAAAAGCCCAGCTGTTCTTGCAATAATTGTCTACAAATGATTTGTTATAATAAAAAAAATAGCAAAAATAAAAAGAAACAAAATTAACAATCTTTATAGTTATTTGACTCAAATTAAAAATGATGTTATAATTAATTGTCAAAATTATTTTCTCATTTTTTTCTATTCTACTTTTTAAACATTTTTTATAAAGAAGATTATTTCCTACATGTCTATTCTGCTCAAATTAAATAATTTCTAATTTTCTCTTTATTTTATTTCTAATCATTTTTTATTAATCATAAATTATAATTATTCAATATTATACATCGAAGTGAAAATTTAAAACATTTTCATTTTATATTCATTATTATTTATTTAGATAATAAAGCAACTGTAGCAATTGATTTAAATGTATTATAAATATTTTTAATTC